ATCAACAAGTAGACTAATGAAAGATAGTTCTCAAAAAAAAAAAAAAAAGGAAACACAAATGGCCAATATTCAGTATCTTTAGCCACTGAGGAAATTAAAACTGCGTTTTATCTCATCCCAGTCAGAACGGCCATTATCTAGACACCCAATGACAACAATAGTATGACAACTGTGGATGGGAAGAGAAACTGTTACAGTTGCCGTGGAAATCAGAATGGGTTTTCTCAAAAGACAAACTATAGGGCTGGTGAGATAGCTCAGTGGGTAAAAGTGCTTATGGCCAGGCATGAGGACGAGTTCAGCCACTGGGACCCAATGGCAGAGGGATAAACCAACTTCCATAGTTGTCCTCGGATGTGGTTAGCGGAGAAAGCAGAATCCCACCAACTGTCCTGACTCACACCTTGGCACAGGTCCTCCCCCCAGTAAATAAATACACTAATAAATTTTTCTTAAAATAGAACTATGTAATAGACTATACAACTCCTAGGCAGATACCTGAAGCTCTAAGTATACACATCACACACACACACTCAAATACCCATGTTCATCTGTAACAATGTAATGAAGTCAAATCAACTTTAGGGTAAAAAAAAAAATGTGTTACCAATACACAGCCTTAAAAAATGAAATCTTAGGAAACAAATGGAAATGGAAAGCATTAGACTAAGTGAATAAAACAGAATCAGAAAAACAAGGACAGCATGATTCCTTCATGTGTGGGATTTGTATTCAAGTTTACATGTATGTATATTATACATACCCATACATGTTACATACGTATGTAGGATCTGAAAGAAAAATGGGGAACTGTAAGCAGGAAGGAAGTGACCTGAGGGAGGAGAGAAGAGGAAAAGAGAGGGGCAGAAGGGGCACTATTTGGAAGAAGTGAACCAGCAAGAAAGTGGAAGTCAGGACTGCCTAATACAAAAGTGTACACCAACGTAAGACATGCCATAAGACCATTATACTGCACACTACTCTAAGAAACTCATTTCAAATGAAAAATAATGACTACAAAGCTAACATTATGTTATGACATTAGTAACAATATTTTCCTTTTATTTTCTTAAAAGACAGGTGTTGCTCTATAGTCTTATTGGCCTCAAACACACTATACAGCCCAGGCTGGCATCACCCAAGAGCCTCTTACCTCAGCCTCCTGAAGTGAGATCACAGGGATGTGCCACAAAGCCCAGTTCATGATATTAGTAACTTTTTTATTTATCTTGAACAATAAAACACCTTGGGGAAATTGATTAACCTTAAATGACTTGATAAAACATGCTTTTAAAAAAACAAAGATTCTTGGTCAAAACCTAAGTATTATTTTTGGAAGGTGTGAGCCCTCTTCTAAAGCTCACTTGACATGTACAGAGCAAATGGTTCCATTGCAGTCACCACAAGCATACACTTAAGACACAAAACTGACTCTTTACAACATGTAAATAGACATTTGTGGTTTAGGGTCAAGTTTCTCATTCTAGCTGTTATAACTCAGAACATTTTAACCACTAACATTGTTTTTCATTTATTTACTTTAAAGGTATATAATTTTTGTTTTATGTATGTATGTATGTGCATGCATGCGTGTCTAGTGCCCAGATGTCAGAAAAGGCATCAGATTCCCTGGAAGTGCAGGTACCATTTGAGTGCCAGGTCCTCTGCAAGAGCAACAAGTGCTCTTAATACTGAGCCATCTTTCTGGCTCACTAACTACCAACTTTGAAGTCACATAGAAAATTGATTTATAAAAAAAAAAGCACATAATAACCACCAAATTTACTCAACTAGAACATATCTTGGAATTTTCTAATCAGGAAAATCGGAGAGGGCAGAAATTGCTTTATTCTGGAAATTTAAAAAAAATTATGAAAAATAAAAGTAGTACATAAAAACTGAAAAGCTGCTGATATAAGAGAAAATGTTAGCAAAATAAGGGGACTTATCATTAAATGAAGCAGGAAGTTACCATAACAGTACGTTATGGATTATCACAGTTTAGCACTTATTTCGTTTGTTTTTTTGTTTTTTTTTTTCGAGACAGGGTTTCTCTGTAGCTTTGGAGTCTGTCTTGGAACTTGCTCTTATAGACCAGACTGGCCTTGAACTCACAGATATTCGCTTGCCTCTGCCACCCTGATGCTGAGATTCAAGGCGTGCACCACCACCGCCAGCCAGTTTAGCACTGTTAACAAGTAGATCAAGCCAGCTGTGATGAAGAATGCCTGTAATCCCAGAATTCCAGAGCAGAGCTAGATCTGCCACCATATTTAGGCCATACTAATAATGATACAAAGATACATGGTAAGTTCTGGGACAGCTTAGACTACAGTGAGCATCTCAAAAAAAATTAAAAATAAGAGTACATAAAAGGGGCTGGGAAGGGATTGGAGCTCAGTGGATAATAACTATACAGTGAGTTCCAGAGCACCTTAGACTATAGTCTCAAAAAGCAAAAAATAAAAAAATAAAGAGAGCGAGCGAGAGAGAGAAAGAAAAGAAAAAGAAAAAATACAAACAAGGGGCTGGGAATGTAGCTTAGAAGGAGAGTACTTGCCTAAGGACATGGGCTTGATCCCTAGCACTTAAAAAAGGAAAACAGGGCCAGGTGATGGTGGCACACGCCTTTAATCCCAGCACTCGGGAGGCAGAGGCAGGCGGATCTCTGCGAGTTTGAGACCAGCCTGGTCTACAGAGCTAGTTCCAGTACAGGCTCCAAAGCCACAGAGAAACCCTGTCTCGAAAAACCAAAAAAAAAAAAAAAAAAGGAAACCAGGAAAGTTTGCAGTGTTTTTAAATGGCAATGGAATTATTTAAGTAAAGGTATTTTGTCTGCATGTATGTCCGTGAATCTGTGCATGACCTGGTACCAGCAGAGTAAGAAGAGGACACTGGATCCCCTGAAACTAGGGTAACTGAAGATTTTGTGAGCTGCCGTGTGGGTACTGGAAACTGAACCCAGGGCCTCTGGAAAAGCAATCAGAGCTTTTAAATTTGCACAATATCCTGCAAGATAGGATATTTCACAGGTCCTGGCCAGAAAATTATTTACCTGAGTCAGAATAAATATAGGACTTCACTCTGAACACATCTCTTCAAGAATATCAATGGGTTTCAAGGCTAAGTGACTGCACACCATCCCCAACGAAATGGAACACCGACCTCTCCTTATTCCCACTGATGGGCCATGTAGAGCAGTAACAGGAATGATTTAAAAGCTGGACAATGGACCGAGCATGTCTGCATGCCTAGGAGAATTCTATGCCAGGAACTCAAAATGAACTGTTCACTAAAAAAAAAATAAATTTCAAGGAATTTTTAAATGACAAGTTTAAAAAATGTAGCCAGTGAGTTTACTACACGTACTATTTAACTACAACTTGTGTTTCAAGAACACAGAAGTTCCCGTTCCATCAGATGACAAGCTGTGCCTACATATGCACACATGCAGCTTTCACGGCAGCGCCACGGGAAAATTTCAGTATTGGATAATTTGGGGAAGCTGTTTTCAGGTCCCCACAAGGAAGTCTTACCTGACAAAACCACGCCCAGATGGAATGATTAAATCATAATTAAATCTAATTTAAAAATAAATTACAACCGGTAAGCAAGAGTGCCAATGGCTTTAGTTCCACACAAACAGTTGAAATTGCTCCTCTACATGTCCACCTCTCGCTTTTTATAACACAGTGTTCCAGGTTCCCAGAAAGGACCTGTGCGCGTCTATGAATAATGGCTTCCCCTGGTGACGTTTATCAATTCCAGTGTGCCAGCAAGTGCAGAACTTAATTTGATACTTTGAATACACTCTGTATTAACTAGAAACCAATGGAATGGTGATCAGAAATAGGTATGCATGCTGGGGCACTGGCATGACTCAGTTTACACATATGCCAGAATACTAATATCTACCTCGCAGTGGTTACAAGAGATATAATTAGGGTCTGCAAAGCACTTTGCAGGTCACAAGATTAAAGGCAGTCTCCGAGGACCCAACACGCATTTCCTGTCGATATTAAGTACACTACGTTTTAAAAATACATTAAAAATGACTTGCAGCATATGTAATTATTTTTTTTTTTTTGCAGACAACATCTCCTTCGGAGTGCTCAATGATACTTGCGGGGGCGTGGCTTTAGGGGAGAATTATTCAAGTCTCCGTACGTGCTTTTTCTTTTCCACTTCGGGGGGCCACTAGGCTGGCGACCCGTTTCCACCAGGCTACCGACGCTGACGTTTCCCAACTTCCTAGCTGACAGATCCACAGGGACCTAGCGCGTCGCTTCCCCAGCTGTCTGGAAAGGAGGCGACGTCACAGCCCCTCAGATTGGACGGGCCGCCGTGGGGGAAACACACAGAAAACATGAACGTGACACAAAGACAGCGGAGGGGGTCCGGAGAGAGACGGAGGCCGGGGCGGCGCAGAGCCGCGGGGACGAAGCCTGACCGCGGCGACTCGGGCGAGCAGGGGACGCCCGCGGCAGCCGTCCTTCCGGAAGAGCCTCGGCCCCGCGACCCCCGGTTCCACTCGTTCCGAGCCCGCCGCACTCACCGGCTGGTCGACGCCATCTTCGTGGCTCCGCCAACAGCTTCTCCCCAAGCAGGAAGCGACACCGGCGGCCGGACGCTCCGAGCCGGGCTTTTATGCGCGAGTCACTCGCGCGCAGTTTGCGCGTCTACGGGTCGGGAGGCGGGCCAAAAAGCAGGCGATCCTAATGACGCAAGCTAAAGGCTTCCTGGTTTTCTTTGCTGAGTAGCTGTCAGCTGCTGGTCGCTGAAGAAACTTCCGAGCTACCGCGGATTGAAGCCGGGCGTGGTTACTCACACCTTTAATCCCAGCACGCGGGAGGCAGAAACTCGAGAATCTCTGTGAGTCCGGGGAGCAGCCTGGTCTATGCAGCCAGGGTCGAGGACAGTGAGGACTACAGAGAGAGACCCTGTCTCGAACTAAACAAAACAAAAAACCGACCCAGGAAGAGTCTCAGAGAATCCAGCGAATGAGTTCAGAGTTAGTTCTCCAGCAAACCGAATCAAAACCCAAAGAAGTTGCCCGTCGTGGTGAAAGGACGGACGTAAGCATTAGACCAAAACAAAACACCACAAATCAGATGGGCAGACAGACAGACAGACAGACAGATAATAGGTAGGTACATAGACAGACAGACAGATGATGGCTGTTAGGTAGGTAAATAGATGAGGAAGAGAGAGAGAGAGAGAGAGAGAGAGAGAGAGAGAGAGAGAGAGAGAGAGAGAGAGAGAACAAAACAACCCACAAAGGAAGCAAAGCTGTTCGAAAGGGGCAAAGCCCTTACCTCAAACCACTCCTTTACTTTCAAGTCAATTTTCCCTGTCTGATTGAATTTCTCATTTGCCCTGAGTAAAAAAAATGGAATAAAAAGAAATTGGCTTTGGTCTTTAGGAATGGCTATCAATTCAAGTTCTGTCACAGACCAACAAGCTTCGAATTCCTCCGGGTCTTTTACCTCAACAGTGTAGGGATAGAGTGGATTTGCCTCAAAGGCACTTCTAGAATCGACTCAAGATCAGATAGAGCCCAGTGACAGTAGAGTATGTTGTGAAGGAAACGGAGAATCTGGTCCTGCCATGATTCATGGTGTTTGTCTTTCCCCAAACATCATTGGACATTGAACTGAAAGCTAAGAATAGAAAATTTAATAAAACACCTAATGACTGTAAAAGGGCCTATTGTACATTTATTTATTTATGTACCAGTTAAACTAGCATCAAACTGGAAATAACAAGGCAGGTCTTGTTTTTCATCCTTGTAATCCTAGGAGGCAGAGGCTGGAGGTCCAGACATCCAAATCCAGCATGGACTTCAGAGTGGGAGCCTGTCTCATTCCTTGCCCGCTTACTTAACAAAGGTAATTGTAGCAGCATTTCATTTGTATTTTAATAAATAAAGCTTGCCCCACTATGACACACACTTTTAATCCCAGTAGCCACACTAGTTGCCATAGAAACTGAGCTGTGTATGCCTTTAATCCCAGCCCTAGAGAGGATTATAAAATGGGAGGAGACAGCTGTCAGGCTCAGGCTCATTCTGAGATTCCTGGAGGCAGGATCACCATTTCAACCTGAGGTGGAGATAAGAGCCAGTGGCTGGCTCTTTTGCTTTTCGGATCTTCATGCTGAACCCCAATTTCTCTTTCTGAGTTTCTATTAATCATGCTTCATGTAATAATGCTACTTCTTTGTGAATGAGCCTCCTGGTAAAGTTGGAATTAAAGTAACTGCAAGAGAGGCATCTTCCACTGAGATAAAAAACTCAGATATTAGCATTAGTAAACACTTTCTTTGTTAATGGAAATCAAGGGCCACTAAGCAGTCACTGTTTTCTTGAACAGAGTAGAAGCTAGGGGCTTCCCTTTAAGAGCCAGAGTTGCTGGGAATGTAATCAGTGGGTGGACTGCTTGTCTGCAAGGCATGAAGGCCCGGGTTCAGTCCCAGCACTGCAGAAAAACAGGTGTGCTGGTGCCAGTCTGTAATCACCACTGGGAAGGTGGAGACCGGAGGAGGAGTTTAAGGTCATCTTTGGATACCTCACGAATTTGAGGCTAGCCTGGAAAGCCAGTCTGTTGTAAGCACTCTGTGCCCTGAGTAAGTTGCCCCCAGGAGATTTTTAGACAAAGCCTTTGACTCCGTTTTGAGGGCGGAGAGTGACTACTGGTTTCTCCCCACAGTATGAGAACGAATTGAATGGCAACATATTAGCAAGGCTCAGTGGGTTCAATGGTGGCAGTTTGTCATTAAGCCACCTGGTTTGGTAATCTGGCTGAGGCAATGCAGGTTCTCTTATTCCAACTGGCATGGCTAATGTTAGCTCTCCTATCCCACAGCACACTGTACTTGTATCTGTATATCTGGGTGCATCTATGTGGCTTACAGAAGCACATTGGTTAAAGAGGTTGCAGCAGAGTTCAAAAGCATTAGACGTGGTCTGAGAGAGAGGTTGTATTGATAACAGAACAGATCGGTGATGTAAGGCAGCCGAAGCTGGAACTGCTGGGGTCAGTTTGGGTGGGAAACTGTGAGGTGAAGGCTGGACTGGGATCTGCGAGTGGAAGATGGAGCATCCAGGTCCAGAGAGGTGGAAGATGTTGATGACCAGCTTTGATGAAACTCATATGTTCCAGGGTAGGAGCTTAAGGATTAGAACCATTAAGCAAAAGGAACAAAGACATAAGAGAAATAAGAGACAGAAACACAGAACAGCATTGGGAGGGACATCCAGGGAATACAGAATCGCGATTCTGTCTGCGTTTATTTTCCACATGCTTATATACTTCACTCCAAATGGGGAGGAGGGAATGCAACAGACTTCATTAACATGATACAAGGAATAGACCTGAATTCTCCAACCTTTGGTCCAGATGGTGTGGATCCACCTCTTTACCCAGAATACCAACTAACCACGCCCTGAGTCAGAATCTCTTATTGTAGCCATTTCTGATATCAACAATTTGGAGAGAGCAAAAATAAGCTCAAACTCCCTGACCTTCAGTCGAGGTGGAACAGGCTCACGTGTGATGTATGTGAGTATTTGAGCAGGCTCACAGAAAGATGAATGAGCGGGCAGTCCAGCAGAGGCTAGACAGGGAGTTGAGCTGAAAGGGGGTCATCAGGAACTGCTCCGCTTGTTGGTCCCTGATTTATACACCAGCTGTTAGGTGACAGGTTGGTGTGTGGCGGTGATATCACGCTGCTAGGTGTCAGTCTCTTTACGGAGTCCAGGTGAGGGACTAGTGGGTCCGGTAATCTTGAATCTTGTTTCCCAGATACGATTTTAATGCCCCCATGTGCCCTTTGCAGTCTCAATTCATGTCCATACTTTGTGAAGTAGCTCCTCTTATACTCCCAGGAATAACTCATTTATCGTTCCGTGCTGCCTGCGTAATTTGCAGATCCACCTAGGGGCTGTAGTCATTCTCCTCTCTGTCAAAACCGAGTCTAAAACTCTTTGTAAAATGGAGCCTCCTATGGTAAGGCACAGCCTAAGAGAACACTGGTTTACATATGTGGGGTAATTCTGAATCTGCCATAGATTGTCACAAAACCTAAATTCATTAATCAATTTAAGAAAGAAGTATGAACCACACCTAAGGGCAGTCCCTCATCCCTGACCCCAGCAGCAGATACCAACAAAAACAAAACATTACTCAAAGGTAGGATTTTTTTTGTCTCATATTGTTTTGTTTGGACTTTTTTTTTTAACCTTACTGGTCTAATGCTTGTATATTATGGTTTCCAAGTTTTAGTTTTCATGGGTGTAAATATTTCTTGTAATCTTTCTTAGTTTCTTTTTTCCTTTTTTGTTTTAGTTTGTTTTGTTTTATCCTTGCTAGTCTTTTTTTTTATTTGTCTAATTCTTCTTTGTCTTTTTGAGACAAGTTCTCTCTATTTTGTAGCTCTGGCTGTCCTGGAACCTTACTATGTAGACAAAGCTAGGATTGAAAGTGTGTACCACCACACCAGGCTGTTTCTTTTCTTAAGAGAAAGCGAAAGGCTTGAGGTTGGAAGGGTGGCAAGGATCTAGGAGATGAATGAGGGGAGACTGAGATCAGAATATAATATATGAAAATAACTTTATTTTAAAAAAAGTATGAGAGACATGAGCATAGAAACCAAAATCTGAGTGGGGGATGAGGGCGCATGGTTACCCCACCTCAATCTGTCATTGTTTAATTCCAAATTGAAAACTTGCCTGTGCTCACATGGGCTGTCTCTTCCCCCTTAAGAATTGTGAGAGTTTGCCAGGCAGTTGTTCCCCTCACGCCTTTAATCCCAGCACTCAAGAGGCTGAGGTTGGTGGAGCTCTGTGAGTTTGAGGTCAGCCTGGTCTATAGAACGTGTTCTAGGACAGCCAGGGCTGTTGCACAGAGAAACCCTGTCTCGAAAGAAAACAAGCAAAAAGAATTGGGAGAATTCCAAACATGTCACGACCCGTTTTAGAGTGACAAGAGCACTCGGCAGGGAAGGGCCCCACCAGTAGGGAGCTTACACCCCACAACCAGTGTGCTTTCCCCGAGAGCATCTTAGGTGGCGAATGAAAGGGAAGAGGGCAATTGGGAGTACTCAGAGGACCAGAAGGACCCAGGGGGTTCACAGTAGATAGCTAACAATGTTTGCTGAGGGGAGAAACCACTAAGGAAACTGAAACCCCAGAGCTGGGAAGGCAGAGCAACTGGCGACATTTCCCTGCCCTGCTCCCAGGTCTTGTGTTGCAGACTTGCAAGGGTTTCTTTGTTAGTGTGGCACTAACAAAGCAATTGTTAAGGTCTTCGCATCCTCATGTCCAGATTTTATTTCTGATCTTGAGTTTAAGACCACATGCACATTTGAGGTTCATCACCTGAGAAACAGAGACTTAGACCAGCTTTGACTACAATTTCTCATGAGAAGTAACATTTTCTGTACATTTATATGCAAGAGATCATAATAATTTTTAGAATAAGATTTTTTTGTTTGTTTGTTTTGTTTTGTTTTGTTTTTGAGACAGGTTTTCTCTGTAGCTTTGGAGCCTGTCCTCCTGGAACTAGCTCTTGTAGACCAGGCTGGCCTCAAACTCACAGAGATCTGCCTGCCTCTGCCTCCTGAGTGCTGGGATTAAAGGCGTGACCCACCATCGCCTGGTGAGATCATAATAATTTTTAAACTAAAGTCTTGATGTTTATTTTCATTATTTTTTTTTTTTTCAAAACAGGGCTTCTCTGTGTAGCTCTGTCAGTCCTGGAACTTGCTATGAAGACCAGGCTGGCCTCAAACTCACAGAGATCCTCCTGTTCTTGTCTCCCAAGTGTTTGAGGGACACTCTATTGTACTATTTTGTTTTTGAGTCAAGGTCTTATTATGGAACCCAGTATGAACCTGGTGTTCACTCTATAGCCCAGACTGTCCTCAGATCTATGGAGATGCTCTTGCCCTTGGCTCTTTAGTGTTGGGATTATAGTCATAAACCACACCCGGCTCTGGCATACTGTTCTGAAAGTTCATGACACGTCTCTCATGCCCTCACTTTCAAAACCACTGATACGGAAACGCCTGTTTGGGAAGTGCCAGGATAATAGTACTGGCTAAAATGACAATCTCACTTCAACAGGAACTGGCTAACATTTGTTAGGAAAGTCTTAGGTTGAGGAAGAACAGATGGCCAGCCAGATTCCAGAATGAGGGCCTCTTTCTGTGTCTCATTACTTTCCCTTCTGTCTGGTTTCAAAATTACTGTACCTTGGGAAATGCATGTGGTATATTTGTAGAAACGTCTATTGGCTTTTTGATTTCTTAATTATGAAGTCTTATTTTAATTTAGGGAGGTGAAGAAGGAACCAAAAAAGAGAAATTTGGGTTAATAATAGTAGCAATCAACTTAATAGAATTTACTGTGTGCCAGGAACTATGTAAAGCTGTGGAGACATTACATCCGTAAATCTCGTCAACAGCTCTATGAGTTGTCCCCCTTCCATAGATGGAGCACTGGAAGTATAAAACTGTTGAGAAACTAAGTCAAGTGGTTTGGAAATGGCAGAGCTGGGATCTGCTGGGATTAGAATCCTGACAGATTGGCTTCAGAATCCGTGCAGCACGTCTCCTAATACAGACTTTGGATCAGAGTTTAGATCCATTGAGTTGTAGATCAGTGGATGGGTTTAATAAGAGGGTGCCCACAGCAATCCTGTGATCTCAATTTTACGAGGCAGCTGCAATCCAAAATACTCTTACCAATTGTCCGCAAAAGGACGCTTGAGTTGGTCGATCAAGTGTTCCCATATCTGAAATGTTCCTGGCTCCTATCTCACTGCTAAGTGTTCTGGTACATGTGATATTGCATTTACCAGCTCTGTTTGTCCCACGATTGATTTGAAAT